TTGGACATTTGACAGCCTCTTTTCGCTCTCGAACTAACTCTGTTGGTCTTGACAAGTAACACAGCTTTTCTGTTTACCTCCTTTGTAGAATCTTATGAAATCCCCACTGGTGGTTGAAGCCTTAAGACAGCAGACAGCCAACTCAAAAAATAACCACTAAGCAGACACGTCTTCATTACCTGTTCAATTGATTCGCGTTTACAAAGTCACCAAAAATGTCGGCGGGAAGCAGCTCCGGTGTAACTCAGCTGGAGTTTCACCAGGCGATGAACGACTTCAAGAACATGTTCCCTGAAATGGAGGAGGATGTCATTGAGGCGGTACTTCGAGCCAACAACGGAGTGGTAGATGCCACAATTGATCAACTACTGCAGATGAACAATGAATCACTGAAGAAGAAGGCAGCTATGGCTCACAAGAAAGAAAACGTGAGTCGATGGTGGGCTTCGATGTGCACTACTTTGTTTTGTTTTTGTTTTCTACTTTCGATTGAATGCTAATACACCAGTGTGCATGACTTTACTTCCTTCTCTCATTATCACAGTTGTACAACCAAAGCAACCTTTATAGCGTTGAGTGCTCTACCGCCAAAGACGGCAAGTCATACAAGAAAAATTTACAATTTATGAGCGACAAGATTTCCAAGGACTCGCTTCGCTACAAAAACCGCTGGGATCCGCCACTGCTCGGCGAACTGTCGCCCACCTTTCTCCGCATCAGCCTCAATGAGACGCAGCGAAAGCTGTCAAGTTTAGACGCCAACAAGTCTGACGCCCATCTGATCAGCTCGTCATTCCTCCAACAGGTACGATCTGCGTTGATGCTGCCTCTTTCACAATGTAACCTACAGTGTGTCGGTGTGCACCTTTCGTTCTACTAGAAAATGGAGGAAAACGAGCGCAATCGTCAGATCACCTCGCTTAACGATGATCCTGAACTTGCGCAGTTTCTCGAGGACGAGCGATTCGCCATTCTCATGCAAAACGAAGAGTTTGTTCGCGAGCTGAGAATGAACCGAGACTTTATGAGCACTCTCGAGTCGGACAACTACAGTGCTTCAGGGTGAGTGAACGACGGCGTCGCCTGACCACCGGAGGAGCACGACGACCACCGGTGGTGACAGTGCTGCTGCAATCAAAGTAGACCATCGCAATCAACCGAAATTGAGCGTTACGTTACTCTTTTTTTTGCACGATTTAGAGCAAATGTCGGCGAGGGAGCAGCAGGTCCGAGCAACAACTATGCCGAATCGGATGCAGCGTTCAAGGAAAAGCTGCGAAACATGGGAAAGGTTTCCAAGAAAAAGTTTACTCAACTAGCTCGGCTCNTCTACTAGAAAATGGAGGAAAACGAGCGCAATCGTCAGATCACCTCGCTTAACGATGATCCTGAACTTGCGCAGTTTCTCGAGGACGAGCGATTCGCCATTCTCATGCAAAACGAAGAGTTTGTTCGCGAGCTGAGAATGAACCGAGACTTTATGAGCACTCTCGAGTCGGACAACTACAGTGCTTCAGGGTGAGTGAACGACGGCGTCGCCTGACCACCGGAGGAGCACGACGACCACCGGTGGTGACAGTGCTGCTGCAATCAAAGTAGACCATCGCAATCAACCGAAATTGAGCGTTACGTTACTCTTTTTTTTGCACGATTTAGAGCAAATGTCGGCGAGGGAGCAGCAGGTCCGAGCAACAACTATGCCGAATCGGATGCAGCGTTCAAGGAAAAGCTGCGAAACATGGGAAAGGTTTCCAAGAAAAAGTTTACTCAACTAGCTCGGCTCTTTTCGGGTCGGACAAAGAAAAGCTTTAAGCAGCTCGATGAAACGGCCTCTCGGAATCCGTATCTGTACGAAGATCTCAACGACAGTCTGCGTGATGTGAACAGCGCCGGCAGCAGCTCTCGAGAGGCGAGAAAAGCAAACATAAAGTTCTGATGAAGAAGCACGCCCAATTCCCATACAAAAACAGTACAAGCTCACCTGTGAATATTTGTAGACACTAACCACTACTACACTATAATATACTCTGGTCTTTCCGCTTTGTGGCAATTCATATACTCATCTGAACGCATTCAGTTTGATCCAACACACTTTTGGATTCAGCTTTATTACCCCTTCCACTTTGGTCTGAACTCTAGACGCTCTATCAACAGCTAGACAGCTAACCAGCACACTGTTTTAGCCGTCCATCAATGCCTAACTCCACTGCTGCATCAGCATCAGCGGCAGCTACCAGTCGCCTTTGCAAGCAACCAATTACTGATGTGAATATTATTACTTCTACTAATGCATTAAAGTATGCTGATAAGATGTGTATTCTTTCGGGGTTGTTGTTGATGTTGTTTTCGATGCGCATTAGCCTGCCGAGGAGGAGCTGGCAGTCTGGGTGTTCTGCACAGTCGGTACAGAAGCTTCTACAGCTGCTGTTGCTGTTGCCGTACGTCAACATTTAGGATGACGCAAATGGGTACTCTCCCTCTGCCTTCCCTTCACTGTACTCTCTCTCTCTCTCTCTCTCTCTCTCNTCTCTCTCTCTCTCTCTCTCTCTCTCTCTCTCTCTCTCTCTCTCTCTCTCTCTCTCTCTGCCTGCGAGTCATGCGCGCCATGTGCCAGCAGTGCTGTGCATCCTCACGTAAACAACAGCAACTCTGCAGCAGCAGCAGTCTACGGCGTCCTTGTGGAAGATGAAACTGAGCTTCGCCGAGCGGGGAGAGTAGCTCTCAGCATCGAACTGTGCCTCTGTCGGTGTGACATTCTTCCCTGGCAGCCATCACCAAGGCACCACCACCACCATCAACACAGCACATCTTCAGCACCGCACTGCTGTAGCACCGCCGCTGCTGATGCTGTACACGAGCCGCACTCATTCTCTTTCCTTCTTCACTTGAACATCTCTTTCTCTCTTAGCCAAAACTACTGTCACTGTCATATTCAACTGCTGCTTATACCTGTGCTCTTTTGGTGATCGATTTATTGAAGGCAATCTTAGCAATCTGGTCGTGACAGCTCTACAGATTCAAAGTACCCGAAATGGCGGATAAAAATCAGGCGGCCAACCAGCCGCCGATTAAAATTGGCCACTACAGCCTGGGCGAGACTCTCGGAGTGGGCTCTTTTGGAAAAGTTAAAAGTAAGTTGACCAGTATGGTCTGTTGTGCTTATTGTCTCATTTTAATTGGCACTTTAATCTTTCAGCTGCGGTGCATCAAATGACGAACCACAAAGTGGCTGTGAAGATACTGAATCGACAGAAGATAAAGTCACTGGATGTTGTCGGCAAGATTCGCCGCGAAATACAAAACTTGAAACTCTTTCGACACCCCCACATTATCAAGCTGCAAGTTACATGAATGAGTAAAAAGTGTTTTTATTGACATTTTGTTTGTGTTTGCAGCTATCAAGTTATCAGCACGCCAACAGATATTTTCATGATAATGGAGTTTGTGTCTGGTGGCGAACTGTTTGAGTACATTGTCAAACACGGCAAGGTAAGTTTGTTTTTAGCCGGTTTCAATTTAATCTTTTGCCAACACCTGACTTTTGTCAACAGCTCAAGGAATCCGAAGCGCGGCGATTCTTTCAGCAAATCATCTCCGGTGTGGACTACTGCCATCGCCACATGGTGGTGCACAGAGATTTGAAGCCAGAAAACCTGCTCCTCGATCAGAACTTAAATGTGAAAATTGCCGACTTTGGCCTCTCCAACATGATGATGGACGGAGAGTTTCTACGCACTAGCTGTGGATCGCCCAACTATGCCGCCCCTGAGGTCATTTCGGGAAAGTAAGTGATCCTTCTAACTCTGAACTTGTAGCTGAGCTTGTTTTGCCCTGATGTCTTCTAGGCTGTACGCTGGTCCAGAGGTTGACATTTGGTCATGTGGTGTGATACTTTACGCGTTGCTTTGCGGCACGGTAAGTTTGCTGAACATATCTAAAAGGATCTGATAACTTATCGTCTCGTTTCAGCTACCTTTTGATGATGAGCACGTGCCCACTTTGTTCCGCAAGATTAAAGGTACTATTTGAATAAAGCAGCTTTAACTAAAAACTAATTGCAACATTCTCTTTTCAGCTGGAGTTTTTGATATTCCCGAGTATCTCAACAAATCAGTCGTCAGTTTACTTGTTCACATGCTTCAAGTTGACCCGATGAAGAGGGCAACAATGGAGGACATCAAGTAAGGAAGAATGGAGTACGTTTAAGAAGTGCACTATATAACAGTTGACTTTTACAGAAATCACGAGTGGTTCAAAAAGGATTTGCCCGGATACCTATTTCCAAGTCCAACTGGCAGTGATGCGTCCTTTATTGATATTGATGCGGTCGATGAAGTTTGCGAGGTAAATTGCACACACACAGAGCACATCCCACTTATTTCACAAAAACACTACGTTGCAGAAATTCACCGTCACTGATAAGGAGGTTCAGCACGCCCTACTGAGTGGCAATCCGCATGATCAGCTGGCCATTGCCTATCACCTGATTGTCGATAACAAGCGGATTGAGGACGAGACGTCGAAACTGGACCTGAAAGACCTGCACATTACCTCCAGCCCACCGCCGTTTTTCGACAATAATCTCCCTAAACCTGGACGGCAGCGCATTCTCAGTTCGGGTAGCTCTGGCCCCGAGCGCCAACGCACACTGAGCGGCAACAGTGACAAGAATCGTTCCACGCCAATGAAGAAGGCCAAATGGCATTTGGGCATTCGATCTCAAAGCAAACCACATGATATCATGAACGAAGTCTACCGGGCAATGAAGTTGCTGGACTTTGTAAGTTTAATGCACTTTGCACAGTGCTACTTTGTGTTCGTACAGATGAACTTGACATTTGCTATCATTTTCAGGAGTGGAAAATAGTGAATCCATTCCACGTGAGAGCGCGACGAATCAATCCCGCCACTCAGAAGTATGTGAAGATGGCCCTGCAACTGTACCAGGTAGACTACAAGAGCTACTTGCTTGACTTCAAGTCATTGCCGTCGGATGAAGACGGCGCCGAGACGCAGCAGCCAGTCGGCCCCGACTTCGTTCCCAGCAATGCAAATAAAAGCCATCACATAATGGAGTTCTTCGAGATGTGCGCCTCGTTGATAGCCCAACTGGCGCGATAGTCAACCAGCAATACTGTAGATTCGCTCTTTCATACAGCACAACAATAACACATACCACAACAGAATGCCGAGTCGTTTTTAAGTGTGTTTATTGGCGTTCACAAAATAAAATGTTGAAATTTATTTGCTGTCTCCGCTTGCTGCAGGCTTGCGATCTTTGCGATTACCCGCTGCGCCTTTGACGCCATTCTTGAAGACGCGGTGGACGATCTTCAGGTACTTGGTGCGGCCAGTGCCGGTGGTCTTCCTTCGCTTAGCCTTCACACTCCAGTTGACTGTAAAAAAGTTGTGAAAAGTTAGAACAATGTTACCTGACTACGTTGAGAACACTTACATTTGCGGATTCGGGCGTTGGGGTAGCCGCACGAGGAGCAAAGTTTCTTTTGGATATGGAACGAGCTGCGGCCACATCGACGGCACAAGGTGTGCGTCTTGTTGTGGCGCTTTCCAAATGATGAAGTACCCTTGGTCTAGAGGAGAAAAGCGTGTTTGTTAGAGGTGTTTGGCGGCAGGAGAGGTTCCAGGATCAGGGAGAAGTGGACAAAGCATTCTTTGACTTACCATCTTCGCTCAGTGTTCTGGCAGAAAGACCGGATCTATGCGAGGATATCGAGCACGCTGGCAGCGGGCAAATGTGACTCCACCAACTACCAAAAAGTGCACGACGAGTGTTGAAATAGAGCCAGGTAGAAACAGACGACTGTTTCAACCCTGATAGTTCAGGTAAACTGATTTTTTGCCTGTGACAAAAACTTGGCAAAATGTAAATATTTGGTTGCTCGTCGTCCCATCCCTGTTACCCGATCTGGCATTTGTCATTACCAAAAATCTGGTTTCTGGTTTTTGAAGCTCAACTTGGTCACACCTGCATTCTACCTGATTAGTTCAACTACCAGCGGCCCTACGGTCTTTCAAACACACTCCAGTCATGGCCGGACTTAAAGGTATCACCTCTGGTTCTCAAATAATCCCTGACTTGATCAACTTTTATTTTTCTTTTTTTCAAAAATTAACTTGCAATGACGCTTAGAGTAAGTTATTTGGGTTTTATAACGACTTTTAAAAGTAATTAATTGTTCTGTTGCAGACTCGTCGTCTTGGCTTTTATGGGCTCGGTGGGTATGACCCTTGTCATTCTCAGCTGCGCAACACCGAGTTTGGGAGCGTATGTGTCTTGCTGATCAGTGTTAATGATAAACAACTCACTCTTTTATCTAATTAGCGTTTGGTGGCCCTTCTTTGTGGTTATTTTCTACTTTCTAGCACCGGTGCCCGTTTTATTCGCAAACCGATACAGTGAGACGTTACAGATGTCCACTTCTACCACACCTAAAGATGTGGCCCTATTTTTCACCGCTGGTATTGTCATCTCGGCATACGGATTGCCAATCATTCTCGCCCGTGCACCAATCTTGGAACCAGTGGTATGTATTTGGTTTTACAGATTTGCAAATATTGATATCATTACAATCCAAATACTCTTTAGATTCACACTGGAGCGTGTGCACTGGTGCTGATGGGCAATACCGTGGTATTTCTCACCATTCTTGGGTTTTTCTACTCTTTCAGCTCGGAAAACAACGCAAGCGGATACTTTTAAACTGATGCAACCACTTTGTGGATATCACTTCTTTGCTCTAGCCGAATCTGTTAGCCATTCTCACTTTCGTGTTCCCTAATTTCCTCTCTCACTAAAGCTATTTTATGTCTCCCTCTCGCTATCTGGATCAATGTCTTGTCTAATTATTGATAAACACACCTGTACACAGATGGCTTCTCTAACATGTATAATAATCAATTTTCTACAAATCAAATGCATTTCTTGCTAAAGTGTTGTTTCACCCAGAATAGAAAGTTATGTGGTCAGTTCAAACTGCGCTTACATAATCGAAACCGAGGCTATACTACACAGCCACCTAACTGTGACCTTTGACCTGATACGGAGCCAATTAAAGGGCAGTGAGTAACAAAGGGCCGAAGTGTCAAAAGTGACAGTCGAAAAACAACACCGGCAGCGGCAGTGCCAGTCAACGCCGCACTCTGTAGCAGTGGGCAGCGGTGGCGCTGGCGGCACAACAGAGGCAGCGCCGCCACCGCCGGTTTCTGCAGACGTAGAAATGACTTGCACAAACAGTGCAGCTCTGCTGACAAAGCCTCACTAAGCTGACATCGCGTAAGCTACAAAGCATTTCGCTGCGAGCATTCGGTCCGTGTACCTCGCCGCTTCTCA